ATATAAATACAGGTTTCGGTTCTATAAAGACATTGACCGGATTCCTGTGAATAAAAAACAGCATCCCAGAAATTTTGGACTATAGATTAACGTTTTAGAAATACGTCATAATTATTTCTCGTTCAATTTTCGGTATGTTGAAGTTCTTATTCCCGTTTTCCAACTTGAGTGTGATATGATATACTTCTCAATTATTTGTTGTTCTCCTAAAAATGTTTTAATACAATGTCAATCCAATTGAAAAAAAATACTTAGAAATTTTTAAATAATTGAAAAATATAGGCTTAAAGGAATGATACCGATTTTCGTCAAAAATATCTCAAAATAACAACTACGACGTGGTGCAATTCAAATAACTCGATACTGAATTCGTGAAAATGCCAATATGTTGCAAAATACTATTTGCAAATTATTCGCGGTTTTTGAATTTTCGTCACCTTTTTAACATTCCCTGGAGCTCCACGTACATTTTAACATTGCCGGCCCGGCAAACGTTGTCTCGCATAGCAATATTGTTGATGTATACTTCACATAACGATAGCCCAATATTAAATTATATTTAAGATAGTGCTCTGAAATTTGCACACACATTGAAATTGCGCAGAAAGTGTCCGTACAAAATATTATCAATATTGGTCCATGTTTCCGTGTACCGCCCATATAATGGTAGCCCTAAACATTCGGTATTTTGAAGATCTTAAGCACGGGTTTCAACAGAATTGCTTTTGGTTTAATATAGGGGATACTTATTGAACATAATTTCTCATGTTGTGTAAAATCTTCCTACCAATAATTAATATGTCTCCATTCCCATTGTTGTAGTTAAAATAGTTCATTCCGGGATATTGGGGGGAGACACATTTTCGCGACAAAGTACCTACTTAGGTCCGAGTTCTGATATAGCATCTATATAGCATAATACCCCATTTATTATAAAGTATTATAAAGACATTGACCGAATTTCCTAATAGAGTTGGCTATAATTACGCATAACGAATTTCTGTGAATAAAAACCATCATTCCAGGAATTTTGCACTACAGCTTACCTTAAAAAACGCCATAATTATTTTCATGTTGAATTTCTTACTCCCGTTTTCCAACTTGAGTGTTATCGGTAGTTAGCATGTTCAATACGAATGGGTAACATCGGACGGAGGTTTTCGTATAACCTTCAAGTCGCTACGTCATCGCTAATTTTTATAAAATTGCTGGTTTTTTGTTTGTTGTTCTCTTTCCAACTGAGCTTAATGATAGATTTTTGCAAAGAAGATATCTCGTATATTGCACTGTGATAAATATTTTGGTGTCGATTAGGCATATAACCGCCTGATTTGATATTTCCCGTGGCACAGCAAAATTTCAGGAACTTTAAGGAACAACATGTTCCTATTATTATTATTATTTTCAAACAAATTAATCAAGGGCATGGATCTTAGAATCAGAATACCCTGAATGGACACGAACTCGATTCAGAATCTCTTCTGATTTTCCATCCTTGCATTAGTCCCAAAATATACTTGCATTCTATGGACGACCTAAGTCAGGTCGTCTTCTCCTCGGCATCTAAACATTATTAATTAATGACGTTAAGATGCCGAACAATAGTGTAACTATCACAGGGTCACTATCTCAAAGGATCACAAAAGTAAAGAAAGTTCTCGCGCACGTATCGGCAATCGAAACTTAATCCTTTCAGAAACATAATTTGTGACAAAATTTAAAATTTATCAAACTTAAAAAAATTCTGACAACAAAAGCAAATTGAATGTATGAATCTACATTTTATTTAGAAAACATTTGTATGGGAAATATAAAAGTCAGCTTTTTAGAGATTTCCCGGCATTTATTCGATCTTTTCTCACCTTTTAAACCTTCTCTGAAGCTCCACGAACATTTCAAGACTAATATAATAAAAATCCGTTCAGCCGTTCTCGAGTTTTAGCGAGACTAACGAACAGCAATTCATTTTTATTTATATAGATAGGGGAGAGGGGGGCACCTTTGAACGTGGGGCACCATTGAACAGCGCTCATAAAATCTTGGTTTAAAAATTTCCCGATCCGCAACCACTTTTTTGTATATGGCAATCTTGTTCTCTATCTGCGTAAACCACTTTGGCTTGCTTTTTCCGTTGTCGACAAATTGTGCATGGGTGACCATGTTTTCGCAGTGTCCTTGTAAACTTTTATTAATTTGGTTGCAAGGGCGCAGTAAGAATTCTGTGATGGTTTTCTTTCGTCAAACAAATTTTTTGCATTCCAACAATAATTTCAAACATAACTAATGTAATTTCATTCATGTATATTTATTACAAAAAAAGTAATTATAAATTTCCGTAAAATGCCATGGGTGGGGCACCTTTGAACATGCCCAATAAACTCGAGTAAAAAATGAAGTTTTTAAATTTTGGCTTCGATTTCTCAAAATTTCAAATGGGCTAATAAGATTACTAAATTAACTGTATTTTTCACCATATTAATTTTTGTTTTTAAGTCATTTTAAAATTTAATAAATTTTTTACTTATTTTTTTTTAAATATTGAAAATTTTTTTTATATTTTTTTAATGAATAAATGCATTTCTGATATGTATGAATAAAATACATACATATTTGAACATAAACACTGTAAAAAACCATGTCGTTCAAAAATGCCAACCCTTGTTCAAAGCTGCCCCCCTAGGGGGGCAGTTTTGAACACTTTGACTTCGTCCATTAAAACAGTAATAAAATATATTTATCAAGCTTATAGTATGTCATATGTATATTCATTTTAAAGGTTACATATGTACCTAATAGTTAAAATTTATAAGAAACCAAAAATTATAAAATAAAAAAATTTATAAGGCTTGAAAGCAAAAATTGTTCAAAGGTGCCCCCCTCTCCCCTACATATGAATTTTCGTCCGATTTTACACAAAATTGACCTACAAAACTTAGCCTACCATATGCTAAGTTTTGTAGGAATCGGTTCAGATTTGGATAAAGCTCCTATATATGTTTTTTCCCGATTTAAAGTACATGACCCTTCAAGAACTCAAATGTGGCCGATATGTGCAAACCATACTGAAATTAGTATAACTTAACATGTGACAAGTTTCGATGAAATCGGATTAGATTTCGATATATCATTTATATATATATTCGTCCGATTTTTAGTAAATGGTGCACCAAAATACTTATGTTTGATATTTGCTTTAAATTTATTTACCCAAATTGAAGGCTATCTTATAGTCGGCCCCGTCCGACTTTACTACTTTTCTTACTGGTTTTATTCGCAGTTTTGATAATATTTTTAATATTTATTTGCAATAATATTTTTGTAGACAAATACATATATGTGTCCATAAAATGTGTATGTAAAGCGATCATACTAAAGCGAAAGATCCCCGAGCATCTAATCCAATTTTTCTAATAAACGTATATGACTTTAATATGAGTACAAATGACTTATATAAAAATAAAACAATGTTTTTTGCAAACATAATCATATACTCTTATTATATTTGCGGAACCAAAAAATTAACTTTTTTCCATTTGGGACCTCAATAAAACACATCGTAAACTAAATTGGCTACTTTAATTGTTCAGCTGTATACAGTTATCTTCTATTTTTAAATTCTGAGGCACATCGACGAAATAATGAATGAATAAATTAAACATCGTTTTTTAACAAATTGTTATCAGCGTCAAAATCAATTAATAAGATACATTCTTCAAAACTAATTAAGCTGTGTTGGTTTTGGCTATTCGATCATTATTTGTCAGAATGCTGTCCAATTAAAAGTTCAAAATAGTTTAATGTAGATGATAAAATAGATTTGGTTGAGACCGGCTTTTAACCTGAACGAAAAAAAATTTTTCCACTTTTAGTTTTTTTTTTCGATTCTTATGCATTTCGTGGAATTTTGTGCGGTTTAGTTAAAAATAAATGTATGCAAAATAGCGTGAAACTATTAGTTTTATTATAATGGAAATTAAACATAACTCATCTTATAAAACTATTGCAATTTTTGGTAGTTTTTGTATGACTGGGTTGGGCAGCATTTTGAAAATCTATCTACTCAATAGTTTGTATATAAGACACTTTTGTGGAATTTTGAAATCATTATCATTTCGAATAATTGTACAATCAACAATAGCTCGATAGAAAATGCGTGCCCTCATTGTATTGTGTTTGGTGGCCGCCGCTTGTGCCCAATATAACTATGGTGCTGGTGTCAGTTCCTCCTCATCATACACTGCATCTGGTAACTATGGTGCTGGTAGCAGTGTAACTCCTTCCTTCGCTCCTCAAGCTACCACTTTGGAAAAGGAATTCTATACATTCACCGCCAATGATGCTGATTTCAATGAACCCGCTGCATCCAACCAATACAACGCTGTTGCCAAGAAGGGTCTCCGCGTCATCTTCATTAAGGGTCCTGAAAACAATGGCTTGGAAAATGCTGCCTTGGCTTTGGCCAAACAAGCCGCTGAACAAAGAACTGCCATCTATGTTCTCAACAAACAAGCTGATATTGCTGGTTTGGCTGATAAATTCAATGCAATCAACAACAATGTGAATCACAAACCTGAAGTTCATTTTGTCAAATACCGCACCCCCGAAGATGCTGCCAACGCCCAACGTGCCATTCAAAGCCAATACGATAGTTTGGGTGGTACTTCCCAACATTTCAATGGTGGTGTTGCTCCCGCCTTGAACTTTGCCTCGCAAGCTTCTCGTGGTCCTTTCGCTGCTGGTTCAGCTCAATCTAGCCAATATTTGGCTCCTGCTGCCACTGGTATTCCAAGTGAAAGCTATTTGCCACCAGCTATTTTGAATCGTCTTCGTCACAAGTAAGATGTTGTTAGTGGTTAGGAATGTAAGTCGAATGATGTTTTGTTGTAAATTGTACAAAAATAAATAAATAAATTATTTAAAATTATAAGTTGTTAGTTTGTTTTTAAATTGAGGGTCTAATGATTTTCATAGCTCGATGTTAGTTAATTTTTTAATAGTACTTAATATAATTGTGAATATTTAAAGACCTATAGGACCTTCATTGTTCCTTATATAAAGTAATCAAATGAAGACCTTATCGGATGTACTCCGCATAATTTCCGAAAAAATGAGATACAAAGCTAAAATTTTGCACAGGCTAGTCGAAGGCCTGCATGTAAGTTCCGAAATAGCCTATATGCCCAAATTTTAACACAGCTAATTTATTAGGACTTTCGTCTTTTAAGTCTAATATGACGTTTATAAAACGTTGACGAAAGGTTATAGTAACAGTACATTGTACAAAATTGTGTGCCAATTTAAATTAAATCAGTCGAAAATATATATTGAAGCTATATATAAATCTGAACCGATTTTCACGAAACTTAGCACGCACCTAATGCAGTACTCTACACCAAATTTCGTGCAAATCGAAGGATATATAGGGACTTTGCACTATTTACCTTAAATCGGACGAAAATATATATGGGAGCTATATCTAAATCTGAACCGATTTTTCCCAATTTCAATAGGATTCGTCCTTGGGCCAATTATGTGACCTGTGCCAAATTTCATCCAAATCGGATCGTAAATGCGACCTGTACTTTGTTAACAAAAATACATGGACGGGCGGACGGACGGACAGACGGACATGCATAAATCGACTCAGAAAGTGAAAGTGATGCATATTCTCAAAAGGAACCATGGGTCTATCTCAATTATTTTTCCTGTTACAAACATATGCACAAAGACATAATACCCTGTACCACAGTGTGGTGAAGGGTATAAAGATGAAAATCCGTGGAGGTTTAGATATGGCTCCCATAATATTAACGTCCGATTTGAAGTATACACCAAATTCATATGGTTTCTCTTATTGAGAAGAAATTTTGAATAACGTATCGTATTGAATCTACAATGTCTTGTGTTCAGTTTGATTAAAATCGGTTAAGATTTAAATATATTTCCCATTTGTATATTCGTTCGATTTTAGGTAAATGATGCTCCAAATACACTATTTTTCGATTTCTATGAAATGTTTAAAATAATATTCAATCGAGTAGATAATGAAGTATTGTGTATTGTGATAAGTTGTTAATTTGCTTAAATAGGTGCAGATTTAGATGTCCATCTATATTTCACATATAGCGTCCACATCGATCTAGATTTACATATAGCTCTCAAACAAAATGTTGTTAAATTTCATACAACCGGATTTAATAGGCTCATATATCTTGTAGATCACATATTTAGATATTAATGTTTTTGTATATACCGTCCGATTTTTTAACATTATTTGGTTCTCATATAACGGTATTATATTGTATTTTCCCCTACGTTTTTCCAATAAAACTCATAATTGTATAATTTTATATTTTATAATAATATATTTATTCATTATATATTTAAAATCGAAAATTACACCATCAGACTTACATAACTACTACCCCACACACTAATCTACTTATGACGAAGACGACGCAGGATAGAGGATGGCAAATAGCTTTCACTTGGAATACCACTGGCAGCAGGAGCCAAATATTGGCTAGATGGAGCAGAACCAGCAGCGAAAGATCCACGAGAAGCTTGCGAGGCAAAGTTCAAGGCGGGAGCAACACCACCATTGAAATGTTGGGAAGTTCCAACCAAACTGTCGTATTGGCTTTGAATGGCTCTTTGGGCGTTGGCAGCATCTTCAGGGGTACGGTATTTCACAAAATGAACTTCAGGTTTGTGATTGACATTGTTGTTGATTGCATTGAATTTATCAGACAAACCAGCAATATCAGCTTGCTTGTTGAGTACATAGATGGCAGTTCTTTGTTCAGCGGCTTGTTTGGCCAAAGCCAAGGCAGCATCTTCCAAACCCTTGTTTTCGGGACCCTTAATGAAGATAACACGAAGACCTTTCTTGGCCACAGCGTTGTATTGGTTGGAGGCAGCGGGATCATTGAAATCAGCATCATTGGCGGTGAATGTATAGAATTCCTTTTCCAAAGTGGTAGCTTGAGGAGCGAAGGAAGGAGTTACACTGCTACCGGCACCATAGTTACCAGATGCAGTGTATGATGGTGATGAACTAACACCAGCACCATAGTTATATTGGGCACAAGCGGCAGCCACCAAACACAATACAATGAGAGCACGCATTTTCGATCGAGTTATTGTTGATTGTCTGAAATGGGAATGATATTGGAATTATTTGGAAGCATATTTTATATGAAAAATATGGATGGAATTTATATCCCACCTAATCCCACAATTTGCCAAAAATTTTGCAAAACTACTTTCTGCATTAATTTTCAAATGTTGAGTTATGTGCAATTTCCATATAAATAGTTTTATAAATTTCACATATTTTTATGCTTATCAGAATATTTGAAGAAGCTGATAGTTTTTTATGCAATACTAATATTTTTGGAAAAACCTTTGTTTCACAAAACCGGTTTTCATATTTTATGCTTTTTATTGAATTTGAGATTTAAATTTAGAGTATTATTAGTGCTGCATTCAAGTCGCACGCCAAAATAAATATCAAAATTTTATTGGAAAGATGTGAAAAGCGTATTTTGTTGTTGTATATAATGTGTAACATTCTTTATTTGTATAAAATGTTCTTTAAAGAATCCAAGCCTATATAAGGCCTCTATAAAATATTCTTTACAAAAATCCACGCCTATATAAGGCCTCTATAAACTATGCTTTAACCAGTAACAAAAGCTCACAAGTCGAACGACTATATGATACCCTTCACCACTTAGGGTACGTACAAGAGATGCTCATATGATACATTTAATTTCATTCAGGCAGATTTAAAGTCGTCTGCGTACCATGGGACAAATTTAACGATTTATAGCAAAATTTATACACCCTATTCGGTACGTCTCACTGTTAAAAATTTAATCTCAATAAGACACCCGTTCGAAATACATATGGAAGCTATGGCTACATCTGCACCAATTTCAACAAAGCGCAATAACGTCACTCAAATATGATATGTTGTGCAAAATTTCGTGTTAATCGGACAAATGTTAGGAGGTTGGACCAACATCTATATAAAATCAGACGAAAATATATATGAAAACTAAATCAGTCAAGAATCTTAACACTCATCATTCTAGACTTAATTCAGTACGCTTTGCAAAATTTCGTGCAAATCGAAGGTTATATAAGGACTTTGGTGCACCATTCATATAAAATCGGATGAAAAATATATGGAAGCCAGGGAATTTGAATTTTTTTCATTCGCAACAGCGAATTTGTTCATTTTGTATTATGTTATTTACCTAAAATCGGACGAAAATATATGGGAGGTATATCTAAATCCGAACCGCTTTACACGAAATTTAACACAAATCTTCTAGACTTAATTCAGTACGCTATGCTAAATTTCGTCCAACTCGAAGGATTTATAGGAATTTTGGTGCACTATTTACATACAATCGGAAGAAAATATATATGGGAGTTATATCTAAATCTGAACCGATTTTTCCATATTTCAATAGGGATTTCGTGAAAATCGATGGATATACAGGGACTTTGGTGCACTATTTACCTAAAATCGAAAGAAAATATATATGGGAGCTATATCTATATCTATATATATATCTATATATCTGAACCGATTTATCACTATTTCAATAGGGTTCGTCCTTGTACCAAATAAATGAGCTGTGCCAAATTTCATCCAATTCGAATAAAAAAGGCGACCACCACACTGTGGTACATGGTATACTGTATTTGTGCATATGTTTGTGGCAGGCAAAAGGAAACGAGATAGACACATAGTTCCTTTTGAGAATACGCATAGAATCACTTTTTAAGTCGATTTATGCATGTGCGTCGGTCCGTCTGTAGATGGTAAATTGTAAACAAAGTACAGGTCGCATTTATGATCCGAATAGGACGAAATTTGGCCAAGGACGAACCCTATTGAAATTGGGAAAAATCGGTTCAGAAATAAATATAGCTCCCATATATATTTTCGCCCGATTTAATGTAAATGGTGCACCACAGTCCCTATATATGCTTCGATTTGCGCGAAATTTGGCATAGCGTACTGAATTAAGTCTAAAATTCGTTAAATTTCGTGAAAATCGGATCAGATTTTGATATAGCTCCCATATATAGTTTCGTCCGATTTTAGGTAAATAGTGCACCAAAATCCCTATATGTCCTTTGATTTTTTTTTTTTTTTTAATGTTTATTTATTATACACAATATTTTAACAACTAAAAATAAACAAACAGATTTATATATTATTTTGTATTATAAGTACACTGTCCCAAACGGTCTCTCAAGTACAATAGTGAGTATAAAAGTTTTATTTTCAGAATATCATGTCTAACATTTTAATGTAAATTACTTTTTTATATATACAATGATAATGAAAAAGTTAAAAAAACATTATCTTTAATATATCTTAAAAAAATTAAAATAAAATAAGAGGGAGTTTAAAAGGGTTTTAGATTTGTATCCACCAAAATTTTTGCAAATTCAAGTTCACAACATCAAGTTCATCCCTTTCTGGAATGCTTGTATCAAACCGAATGTCATTATTGTGAATCATATTGATGTCAATCTCTTTTTTATTTGCTCTTCTGTAAATATGATAGAAGATAGGTATTCCTTGTTTATTTTGTATTAAACACTTTCTATCTAGGTATAAGAAAGCCTCTGGTGGCACAAATCCATTTATTAATGTTTTAGCTATATATTCCTCGTTTGCATAATATGGACCAAAAATAAAACTATTTGTACTACATGTGAAGCATTTTGTAATGTGATTTCGTATAATTTTAATTATAAAATTGTCTATTCTGCTTATGTCGGAGGAGTTGTACAACAATTTATTTGAAACA